ATTTCATTGATTAAGTGGTAAAACTGAAAGGGAGGGAAGTGAGTTCTTAGGTATGTGTATTGTATTTTTCTCAAAGCAATATTTTAGGATGACTAATCCTTCATTTGCTGTACAGATGTATTTGAATGGATTGATGGGGACCTTTAAAATCAATGGTCTACTGGGAAGAGTTTGAGTTTAGCACAGTAGGTGATATAAGTTCCAGTTTTGACACTGCCACTGACCACCTTCGTACCTAGCCATATTCATAGCCCCACGGTATGCCTCCATTCCTTTATCTTCTAGCACAAAAATTTTGTAATTACATATTTTAGAAATGCATAATTTAGAGAATCCTATATTTAAGGATAGATATGCCAGATTCAATCATTTTTCTTTTTTTTTTTTTTTTGTCTTTTGTCTTTTTCCGTTTCTGGCAACGGATCGCAACCCTCAGTGTTGCCCCCGTACTGGACCGGGGACCGGCAATGGGATTGCAACCCTCGGTGTTGCTCCCGCGCCTCGCTCAGCCAGTGAGCGGGAACCGGTCTGTATGTGGGATCCGAACCCTCGGGCGGGAGCGCCGCCGCGCTTCCCAAGCGGCGCACTTATCCAGTGCGCCACCGGGCCGGCCCCTCAATCATTTTTCTTGAAACTACACATAATAAAAAGCTAAAAGGCTGACAGAAGATGGTTTACCTACAATATGCCATCTCCTATGCTTACACCAAGAACTTTAGGACCATTATATCTCCTGTTTAGTTTGCTCTAGAATCTTCTCGCTTTCATGACTCACATGTTAAAAAGATAGAACACTTTTTTTTCTATCTGATGCTTATTTTTAAATTCTTCTGACATAAATCTCTGAACGTCTTTCATCATCCTGCTGATCTTACCAAATGGTCACATTAATTAATATTTAGTTTTACCAGGCTGCTTAGCTTTTGATCGCTTCCCTCCTTCTTAGCAGCCTTTAACAAACACCACTGTCCTGGGTGCTGACAGAGAGAAGCAGTTACCTCCAATTTCCACTGAGGTCACCCTGATGCAGAATATCCTAAGACCCGGGTAAGGAAAGGTAATCCCAGCTATTCAAAGGAAAACACTGCAGTTCAATTTGTGTTTCTTAAACAGTTTTTTTTTTGAGAGAAGCCTCCCAAATTACAACAGCTTTGACTCTGCCCTTTCAAATTCACCTCTAGCCTATGAGTTTTGCCCATGTTCCTGGCAAACTTCAATCCCCTCAGGTTTCTTTCCCCATATTTCCTGGAGAGTAGGATTGTGGCTCTGAAAGAAAGGTCATTTACAAGGAAGAGACAGTTAGGATGCATGTAATTGTTCACAGGCTGTCATCTTTCTCAGTTCAGCTGACTGCTTGGAAGAAATACCACAAATAGTTTTGAAAGGAGGATCTGAAGCGGGTACTAAATTATGAAGTGTTGCAAGCATTAGAGAGGAAAATCAAGAAAGGCTATTGGCACTATGAAAATGGTTAAAAAAAAAGGAAAAAATTCTAAATCATTCTCATCACAGAACTGACAAATTGAGATTTAGCTAAAGGAAATGTAAGTATATGAATTTGAGAACTATGACGAGCTGCTGGGCTGAGAAGGAATGAGGAAAATGGCTGTAACGCGTCAGGATTAAAATACACGTGCTCATAAAAAAGCTTTCAATGGAATGGACAGAAAAAAAAGTTATTTTGGTTAATTATTCAGTAGAGACAGTGGTTTTTGTTGTACAGATGGGAAAATGAAACTTTAGAGGGAAAGTGGCTTGAGTATTATCATAAAGAAATAGGACCCCACTGTTCTGATTCCCAACTCCCTTTGCACCAAAATCCAAATGAAATTCCATCTTTTATGTTCTATTGTTCTCTAAACTCAACCCTCTACGATGTGGAAACTTTGATGCTCTTGGAAATTGCTCCTATATTTGTCTAATGCCAACTTCTGTGCTAGAAAACGCTTGAAGTCCAACCCATAAACACAGGGTTTGGCATGGTCAAAAGCTCATTACAACTTCTCATTAGTTGGATCTCTTGGGGCAACTATGGAATTCCTGAGTGTGACTCAGTATCACCAGTCATAACTAAGGGTTCCTGATTAATCCTAACCGAGCCAGACTGAAGGCCACAACAAGATCCAAGCAAATGAAGCAAAACATCTTGTAAGGAAGAAAGTAAAAAATTACATAAAAGTTTCTTGAAATGCCATCCTATTGTTAACATAATACCTAACACTTATTTAGCATGTACTATGTACCAGGCATTGCATTTGTACTTGACATTCATTTATTTCTCTTAATAACCCCATGAGACAGGTACTACTATTATTCCTGTTTTATTTATTTATTTTTTGTGGCTGGCTGGTAGAGGGATCTGAACCTGTGACGTTGGGGTTATAAGCCTGCATTCTAACCAACTGAGCTAATCTGCCAGTCCCCTTTTTTCTTTTTTTTTTAAATTCCTATATTAAAATAAGAAACTGACTCACAGAGATATTAAATAACTTCCTATGTTGGCTAAGAACAAGAATTATTTTAGAATAATAAGAATATATCAACTGATACTCAAGATTCTGATTTAAAGAGCCATGAAAAGTTTCTCTAGATTAAAAATAACTTCATTGATGCAAATAAAGTATGGAGTTTAGTTCACAGTAACATATAAATGATAGTTTTTTAATATGGTACATTCTTCAAATGGACCATGGCAATGTAAGATGTTAACAATGGGAAAAACTGGTGAGGGGTACATAGGAACTCTATATATATCCTTACAACTTTTCTGGAAATCTAAAATTAATATAAAATAAAGTTTATTTTTTAAAAACCTTTATCTGGATATCTCACACAGGAAGCTTTTCATCGAGTCAGTCCAGATGAAAAACCATGCTATTCTTTTTCCTAAATGTCAGGAGAATATTTGAAATCAGTAGGGCCCTCAAAACACTGTGCTTTTTACACGTAAGGGGGAGAATGTTAAAGTCTCCATTAGTGCTAACTTAGTTTTAGAGACTCGTGCTAGAGTTTTTAAGGCAAATTGGAAACTATTTCCTGGAACAATGCCTCACAGCATGCCTTTTGATATTTGGATTATATTTCTTAAATTCTGAAGAAATCTCTGCTTTTTCCCCTCTTCTGTGCATTTTTGATGCTGAGCTGTTTCCGGTTTTCCCACACTCCTGCCTGTCACAGAGAAGAAACCACAAAAATGCGGCAAAGCAAAGTTTGTCCAAAGAGCAGCAATTCCATCTCAGGAGGCTGAAGAGTTCTCCTGCCAGTAGTGAATTCAGGGCAGTGAGCAGCGTCTTCAAATGCCACCCTGCTTCCTGAGCCTACATCTTCACAAACCAACCAGCTGGCCACACAGGCCACCAAGGGCCGTCTCAGGGTATTGGCAACAATCAGAGAATCCACAAACAAGGACCACATTGGCAAATTAAACATTCACATCTGACTCCCTAATTTTCCTAGTTAACTGCAGATTATTCAAACCTGCAAAGGAGAGTGTGGTTTTAGAAAGCATATGATGGTAACGAAGTCTTATTGAGTTCTTATGTGTGCCAAGCCTTGCTCTATGTTCTTCACATATATTAACTCTATTAAATATTTACCAACTGACCTATGAAGTAGATACTCTTATTGTTCCATTTTTACAAATGAGTAAATTGAGGCTCAGAGATTAAATAACTTATATCTTGCTGAAGTTGTCAAATTAGTAAAGTGTGGAGTGAAGATAGGCATCCAGGCAGTCTGGCTCCAGAGGCTGTACCCTTAAGGACAGGACTCTACTCTTTCTAGGGTGAGAGGACACACAGTTTCCTTTCTATTTTGCTACTGGCATTCAAACACGAGCTGTAGCCTTCCTAAAGCCCTTCCCTACCACTCCAGAGAGTTCTGCAGTCACTGCAATGCCAACTGTTCCTAGAACAATGCTTGGTACTTAGCAGGCACTGAATAAATATTTGGTTGATAAATGAATAATGGCAGCAATATAATTAAAACAGCCACAAGGGACTGTTTTCAACTCAAATACAGAATTTCATTCACCATCCAATGAGGCAAAAACAGTAACTACTTTTTCTATGTCCTAAGATTCTTTCTTACAAGTAAAATTGATCTTATGAAGGAAAAATGCCTGAGTAGCTTTAATGAGAGCGAGAGAAATACACAAATTTCCTCTAGGTGTCTGCACAGCAGGAAATACCTGCTTCTTCCAGACATCTCTGAAAAGCTCCCCAATTTTAAACTGGAAAAGGGCTGCTAGAATCAACATCCTTTACCAATCTATTTCTAGTTCTCTAGTTAAAAAATGGCTGTAGGTAGAGTGAAGGATTGTGATCTACAAAAACTTGATTGATGCATGAAAATATCTTTTTTAGTGTAAAATAGGTAGACTACAAAAGGTATTAGAAACATTGTTGCTACACAGAGCTTGTTGACTAGTGTCAATGAAGTTAACACCCCCAAATTAAATCTCTATCCTATGTCTTCCCCTTCAAATGCCTAAATGTGAACAAAAGATGTTGAATTTATATGAAACTGAAAAGATCTGATTAGGTAGTATGACCAAGAGAAGATACAATGAGGAAGAAGTTTTCAATTCCATTTTCCAAGCCCACAGTTCAGGGCTGTTAGCTTGGAGTTAGGCAGTGTCTGGTGCACCCGTCTGATTGTAACTCCTGTCCCAGGCCAGCAGAATTGGTTAGCAATAATCCTGAACCCAGCACACTCTCATCACAATCACCTGATCTCATCACAAGCATTTGGGGAACCTAAAAGCGCCTGCCCCTTCCACAAAGTAGAGCCCAGCCATAGGCATGTTTCAATAGCTCATCAGGTGATTCTAATTTGTACCCAGGGGTGAGAACCAGAGTTAGTCTTTATGCCCCACGAGGTGTTCTTGTTTTCAAAACTTCAGTACAAACTGCCTTGAAGTCTCCATAAATAAAGAGAACTATTAGCTTAGAACTGATACAACTCAGAAGAAATTAAATGGAAGATTATAGAAAACTTACTTGGAAGCCCTCTGTAATGCTGCCTTTCTGAGCACTTGTTTATGATTGGATGGAGGTTTGGGGACCAAGGAGGAGGAAGAACTTGGAGGTGGCACCACTTTTTGTGGCAGAGTGGTTGGCTTCTGGCCACTAGCTGTGGCACTTGAAATTCTGCAGCCTGCACCATTATTCATTGTCCATAAATTGGAGTTAGGTAGTGTCTGGCTGCCAAAGATTGCCTACAAGAAAAAGAAAAAAAAATGATTGATGGAGATCCCCTTCACGACCCATCTGCTACATGTAACTGGTTTATAATCCTAAAAGTAGGCAAAAAGAAACAGGAAACTGTTAAACAATTTTTTTTTTTTTTTGCAGCTGGCCGGTACAGGGAACCAAACTCTTGACGTTGGTGTTACAAGGCCACACTCTAACCAACTGAGCTAACAGGCCAGCCTAAAATAATTTTTTAGGAAAAACTTCTCTAATGTTGCCAGTGCTGGTCTAGATTCAGAGAATGGAATCTCTGTAAGCAGAGTGAGATGGTCTTGTTGAAAGCACACTGGGCTAGGAAGGAATCAGGACACCTGGGTACTATACTAACTAGGTGCTGGCCCAAATGCGTGAATTAGAAAAACATTTGGTGTCTCTCAGTCTTAGTTACCCTCATTGTTAACTTCAACAAACTTTATTGAATATCTCTTACTGGGTGTCAAGTACTAAAAATAGAGCACAGAACAAAACTGACTTGAAGCTTGACTCAATTCCAGCCCACTCCAAAAATCTGAACTCCAGTAGAAGGTTTGCTCGATTGAGAAAAGGTTAGAAGCCAATGCGGTCCAGGCATAGTGAGCAAACAGAGAGTGGAGAGAAGAGGCTGGAACAGAAACAGAATTTTAGTGTAGTAACACCCTGTTGACCTAAAGATTAACTTGAAGTTTTACATTTGAAAACACTTTCAAAGTAAAATTACCATATAAATACAAGTTAATTTATTATTATTTTTATTATTATTTTTTTTCCTTTTTATCTTTTTTACTGACCGGTAACGGGATCGCAACCCTCGGTGTCGCGCCCGTACCGGGGACCGGCAACGGGATCGCAACCCTCGGTGTTGCACCCGCACCGCGCTCAGCCAGTGAGCGGGAACCGGTCTCCACATGGGATCCGAACCCTCGGCGGGAGCGCCACCGCGCTCCCAAGCGGCGCACTCTCCAGTGCGCCACCAGGCCGGCCCTTAGTTAATTTATGAATACAAGATCAACACAAAGGTATTTTTGCTCAGAGGGTAAGCCTACAAATAAAGACTTAAAAATCACCATCTACACACCACAAATGCCAACATATATCTGTAGTTAAGATGTAAAAGTAGGGCCAGCCCGTGGCTCACTCGGGAGAGTGCGGTGCTGATAACACCAAGGCCACGGGTTTGGATCCCATATAGGGATGGCCAGTTGGCTCACTGGGTGAGAATGGTGCTGACAACACCAAGCCAAGGGTTAAGATCCCCTTACTGGTCATCTTTAAAAAAAAAAAAAAAAAAAAAAAGATGTAAAAGTATACTTCCTTCAAGTAGATGTTTAAAAAATCCTTAAAGATTATTTACCTCATTAGAAATAGTTTTTCTGTATCACAAATTTTGTTACTGGTCTTTCAACACTATTAACACTGCTTTCAATATGCATGCGTTATAAAAGCTTTAAATGTGAAACTATGTTAAGAGAAAAATAATATGACAAAATACATAGCACTTTTTATTAAAAGGATTTCTAGCAAGTGATTTCTATCTATAGATGCAACATGTAAAGAGACATGGGAGAAATGTCACTTCCTCATGGCAAGGCCTGATAGAATAAGAAGAGATACTCTTAGGAAACACCTTCTACACAGATTCACTAGTATTATTTTTATCCCTTATGAATTTTAATTTTTCAGATTTAAAAGATGAACTGGGTAGTTTTAGTAAAATGTTAACCAATCCTTCTATACTCATGTCCTGGAACGTCCCATTTCTGGGAAATGTGTCCAGGGGTCGTGGGCTAGACAGATATGAGGGGGATCAAGGGGTCTTGTGTGGAGTAAATGTGTTTGAGATGCCTGACAAAGAACAAAGAGATTCCAGAGGTACAGGATCTGAACATTTTCAAACTGACCAGTCTGGGATGTTCCCCATCTCTGCAAGCCACCTGAGGGAGAAACTGAAGAGCTATGTACTCTTCTCCATCTCTGATCTGAAGAAAAGGAACAAAGAAAGACCCAAGCCCATGCGCAAAGCCAGGAGGGCGGCAATGTTAAGTGTGTACACGTGGCACATGATGAAGGTCTTCACATGGTCCAAGAGAGCGCAGGAGCCCTGACTTTGCTTCAGCAAGCCTTCTGAGGACAAGTAACCAAACTTTCCAGCAAGATGTCAGGCTTCTAGGATGGACTCTAAAACAAACCCATTCTTTTCAATTGCTTGTTTCCATAACTGAGGGCCTCAAAATCTGTGGAGGAGACTCAACTGGAAGGGAGAAGACAGGAATAGGCTACCCTAGGCTTCTATTTTCACCACTACATCCTAGTAAGTGAGCTTGGATATGAAGTGTTTGGGAGATGCCTCATTCAAGATGAGGAGGAGACCAGAAACATTGTTAATAAAGAGCTCTTAGAAATAAAAATAGTCTTTATTGAGCTATAAGTTTAATGTTGTGAGGGAATTGGCATCAGTAAGAACATCTATTCAGTAAATGTTGCCATGTTGACAACATAACTATATCTCCGAATTCACCAAGTTTTACCTTTCTGGGACATCTAAATACAAATAAAAGAATGAACAATAAAGGCAAGTTCAGAACAGTGAGTATAGTAAGCTCCTATTTGTGCTTTTTTAAAAAAAGACTACATACAAACATACCAACACATACACACATTAGTATCTGCACAGAATAATTCTGCACGGATACACAAAAAACTGATAACCTCCAGGGAGAAGAACTTGCTACCCAGGGCTCAAGATAGGAAGGAGACTAGTTTGTTACTATGTATCATTTGTATCTTTTGCCTTTTGTTGTATGTGTGTGTAGTTACTTATTACAAAAATAAATTAATTATTAAAAAGACAAAAGGGAGTCAAGTTCTAATAACATTTAAGCAGGTAACAAATTAACTCTGAGTATAAGTCAAAATATACAAATGAAGCCCAAGTTTCAACCTGCTGGGTATAGGACTCCCTATTACATTGAGTTGAAGAAGGAATCAACTGTTCAAACACTGGCTTCAAAACCAGATTGGTAGGTCATCGCTGAAAGGCGGAGAGACCCAAGGTAAGTAGAAAAGAATATGGCTTTGCAGTTAAATATGGCTGGGCTCAAATGTAGGCCCTATCACTTATAAAATGGGTGATCTTTTCAAGTTACCTAACCTGTCTGAGCTTCAGCTTTCTCATAAGCAATCATAATGATTTTGCTAGATTGCTAGGGATTAAATGAAGATCATATAGGCAACTGTAGGCCAGGCATTCAATAAGATTTCTTGAAATAAATAAAAGTACTAGGCATACAGTAGACACTCAATGAATGCTCCATTTCTTCCCAAACATTTACTTCAGTTTATTGAGGAACTAAAACACTGGATGACACACAAGTCTACATACCAGTAATCATTTGTGAACAGTGGTTGCTAATAACTTTTTTCAACATATTTTTCTAGTCTTACAATGACGCTCACTAGCTGTGAAAGCAAACTCTTAAAAGGAAAACACATTTAGGTTCTCCAGATAATATTTACTCAATTCCTCTCATAGAAATTGTCTTTTCTTCTTCTGAACGCTTATAAAAACTTATTTGTATATCTCTCATCATGGTTAGTATATTCCACCTTGTATTACAGCCATTTATGTATGTACTTTTTCTCCCTTCTGGAAAATATAGCCATTTCCAGTGTGTGTTTGTGTATGATTAATTCTTGTTTCACCCACAGTGCCCACTAAAATGCAGAGGTGCTTAATGAACATTTACTTACCAACTATTCTTTTTTTTTTTTTTTTAGCAACAACTAAATTCTTATACAAAAAAATAGGCAAATGTGTATTTCCATACAGACATAATCTTTTAACAGGACCATTTTCTGGACTTTCAACAGTGCCTAGCATGCTATTTTTGTTCAACTCATACTCAGCCACAAAATGTAAGGAAGCCCTTCTGAGATTTCCAAACACATGCACCTTCCTAGATGCAAATTTTGTGCCAGGACCTTAGACATTAATGTTCTATATAAGATTAGTCTTTATCTCAACAAAATAAAATAAGTCAGGAAGACTTACTTCTCAGGAGACTGCCACTTGCCTGGACACTATCACTTCTCCCTATCTTCCTAATATTACTACTCTGATTTTGTCTGGGTAATAATGTGTGCCCAGCTACAAAGTTACATTTCCTAATCTCTTCCGTACCTAGGAATAACCACATGATACAGTTCTGGCCAATGAGATATAAACAGAAGTTTCTTGTGTGGTTTTTGGGAAAAGTTGTCAAAGGGGATGGACTCAGTACACACCTTTTCCCCTCTACTGTTCTTCCCACCTAGAACATGGATATCTAGCTAGAGGTGGACAGGCATAGGGTGAAAGTTACTCACTAAGGACTGCAGAGGATAAAGACAGAAGGAGCAGGGGTTTCTGATGCCACCATGGAGCCTGGGAGAGCTTATCTTTAGATTTCTAATTATACGGAAAAAAAATAATAAACCTCTAACTTGTTTAAGCCATTGGTGGGGGGAGGGAGTTCTGTTACATACAGCCAAATGGACTACTAACTGATATGAGAAATCTCAATCTACCAAAGATTCAAGCTTAAGTCTCAATACACCAGAACTGTACTGAATCTCAGAAAGCAGATATTCTTTCCAAATACAGTAAAAAGCTTCGAGATTGTGACCTGTGGTTTGGTGATCATACTCCAATATTCTGAATGGATAATGAAATTATTACAACTGTATACTATCTGAAATGTCAACAAGTTAGTAATGTAGACAAGTCTGCAGGTGTTTCACAAAAGCCAGGGCTAAGTGGGATAGGATTAAAGGTATCAAATCTGATAAGAAGAAACCCAGGAAAACACGTAGGCAATGTTAAAGCAGACATATAAATGGATGCATTTAGACTATTGGCAAAATCAGTCTCCCCAGGCCCCCACGGTCTGGACCCAATCCTACAACTCCAGGAACTATAGATCATGTAAACTGTTTTGTCCTACTATTCATT